CTGCCTGAGCTGCTGGGCAGCAGCGGGGGAGGAGCTCCAAACTGCCGGAGCTGATCTGCGATGCAGGGAGGGAGGGAGGGAGGAGGAGGAGCTCTCTGGCTGAGTGTCGGAGCCCCATGTAAGTGACACCGGCCGGCCGGCAGCACTGTTAGCCGCGCGTGCTCTGCATGGGGGGGAAGTCTGGACATTTACAAATTCCCCCCGGACGCTATTTTTAGCTTAAAAAGCCGGACATGTCCGGGGGAATCCGGACGAATGGTAACCCTATGCATAAGATATTTCAGGAATATGCTCTAGTTGCTCTCGGCCAAGAGACCACCACCACACTACTTAAAACAGGTGAGACTGGAATCCAGAAGTGGAAAACGTGTCAGTTAATTGGAGCGATCAACGATACACTGTTTTTAGGAGAAACAAACAGTTTGTTCCAGTAGGTAGGGATGGACAAATCGATTGTGGCAGCTGCAGACGTCTACATGCCTAGCATGGTTCAGAAGCCTGTAAGTGCCTGGATACTTATGATTATTAGAGCACCATAAATACCTAAGAGAAGAAATTACTTTCCCTCAATAACCCTAAGTGCCTGTCTTTCTTCAATGTATGGTTGAATTGGTGCATTTAGCATATGTAACGCCTTCTGCAGTCTGCAAGCTTATTATTTGGGCTTTACTAGAGGAGCAAGCAGCCTGGGTTTTGGACAGATAAAATAAAATATTCAATGTGAAATACTGTTAATAACACTAAGTGCAAAGTACAAAATGATGAGCTGACTTTTGCTGCAGGATTAGTGTAAGAATAATTTAGCACTAATGCAGCACTTTTCACTGGTAGATCAAAAAGTTCTTTTCAAAGGTAGGGAAATAATGGATATCCCTATTTTTCAGATGGAGAAACACAAGGAGGTTAAGTGACTCCCCCAGGCTCAGAATACACCCCAACACTCTAATTCTCAGTCTGGTAGCCTCTCCACAAAATAGCATGTTAGTGAACAGTTGACTCATTTAGAAAGAATATAATGTAGTTAGAATACAATCCAACAAAGAGAGTCAGGCCCTGACACTGATGAGGAAAATGGAGATCTCATCCTATGGCTGGTATTCTTTCTTCTGACTAGGGATTTTAGTGTCTCATGCTTCATGAGTCTTTCTTGAAGATTTTCTCTCTTCAAACAACGCTGGATTTATAGAATAAAGGGTCGCAGTTAAAATCTCTGGTATGTAGCTGCTTCCTCCATTTAAATAAATCCTAAAGTTAACAGAGGCTAAAATAGAGGTTATCCACAGGTGTAAGTGTGTTTTGGGAGAAATTATACCTTACTTACCATCATCAAAGCCCTGGCAAGAGCATTTTTACTTGCTATCACAGGTCAGGAAGTGTTCCCTTATATTCAGCGTAAATGTTCACCATCTTGATACTCTTAATTATTCCCCATTTACCACACTGAAATCCTCTAAATCTTTGGCATTAATATCCTTTGATATATTTGCAGACTATTATGTCTCCTGTAGGTTATTGTTTAGACAAGTTGTATGCATTAAGTTCATCATCATTCCTCCCATGTCAATCCTTCCAATCCCCAATTCTGTTTTGTTGCTCTTCTCTGAACTTCCTCTTGTTTGTCAATATCTTTCTGTTAATGTTCTAGAATTGGTTGCAGTATTCCAGGTATGGTCACACCAGAACCACATGGAGCCAGGCTGTTACTGCCTTGTTCCATAAGAAGGGCCCTTTGAGCTTGCAACCCAAAACTGCATGGGCCTTTTATTACATCCATATCACTTTGCAAATTCTTGGATGATTTGCTGTCCACTATCACTTCTAGGTCTTTTTCATAGTGTTAGGGTAGGTCTACCCTTACCTCCGGGTCCGGCGGTAAGCAATCGATCTTCTGGGATCGATTTACAAGACGCGATAAATCGATCCTGGATCGATCCCGGAAGTGCTCGCCGTCGACGCCGGTACTCCAGCTCGGCGAGAGGAGTACGCGGCATTGACGGGGGAGCCTGCCTGCCGCGTCTGGACCCGCGGTAAGTTCGAACTAAGGTACTTTGAATTCAGCTCCGTTATTAACATAGCTGAATTTGCGTACCTTAGTTCGAAATGGGGGGTTAGTGTGGACCAGGCCTTACTGTCTTATAGATTTCTCCCTGCCATTTGCTATGTTAACCATGCAATTTACAGAAAATTCATAAAATAAAACAATTATGTGAAATTCAGCACAGTTTACTAGATCTCATTGGAATCTACAGAGTTTGTGATGCTGACAAAATGCAATGCTCGTATCTTTATTGCTGTGCTAGTACCTATCATATTCTCTAAGCCATTCTTATAGCATGCTATTTATTCTTATAAGTGTTCTAAGAGTAAGTTAAAAAATGCATTAAGAATCAGAATGTATTTTCCCTTTGTAAGTTTTGCAGCAAGAGGTTGATCAAGGATTCCAGGTCCAGGGCTCTCCAGAAGATCACTGTCATTGCTTCAAGAGAAAAATCAATGACATACAATACTACCTGTCAAGCAAACGGGCTTTAAAATATATTGATATCCACCAGCTGAGACTGGTGGTCAATACAAGACTGTATGAAGCACACCAGAAGTTCATAGACCGCATCCATGCCAGGGTACACTAATAGTCCCTTTCCATTATTTTGGTTTTTATCACCATGTCAAAGGACCTCTTTACATCATGCATTAGTCAAGTGGCCAGGGAAAGATGAAGAAAACCATAGAGCTTTTTCATCTTTCCTTTCCTTCACCATTTGTGCCTTTTTATATTGCTCCTTACATCTGCAACAACATCCCTGTTCCTGAAAGCCAAGTGTCCTCTCTTCCTTCACATCCCTTCTCCAAAGCCACTTCTTTCATCTTGCTTATCCCACACTGACCTTCATTCCTGTGTTATTTACTTCTTTTTTACCCCATCTCAGTCTTCTAAGATTTACTCACTATTTAATATTACTCCCATTTATTTTAACTTTTGTCCCGCTTTTCCCTAATTTCTTGCTTTGCCTGTTCTCTTTATGTTCAGTATTCATGGCAGGCTCTCTGGGAGAGGTCATATCTTTTTTACAGTCCTTAAAGTGCAAAATTATGATTCTATATAAATCTCAAATTATGCCACCCTTAATTTACCTTGATTTCACCTCATCCAGAACTAGTCCTATTGTATTCAGTGGGCCTAATCATGGAGTAATATGCTGCTCATTGTGAGTTGAGAATCTGAACCTTAATGTTTAATACTAGTATTAATGGTTAATTAATATTTAATTAACAGTATATGGTCATTTATTGTTCTCAATTTCTTGTACTAAAAGCACTCAAAGCATGCCAGGAGGGCCAAAAAAGAATCCCATGAAGTATTAAAATCTGGCCTATGGCAACCCATCTTCATGTAATTGTAGCATAAGAACCAAGCTGACTAATTCTAATTTATTTTTGTTTTGGGGCCAGTTAACTCTCAGACCAAGCAATTTGTATTCATCTGTCAAAACATAAAATGCAAACACAAACATTACAATCACACAATTATTTTTTGGCTTATCTTTATTTTCTTCTTAAGCCCTTTTTCCAGCCTCCTCCTCTACATCCATCTCTGCACAGAATTGTGCAAATTTTAAAAACAAAATTAACATTATCAGACAGTAACATGCTGTGTTCTTCCCTTATCCACCACTAGCTCTCTACCTCCACTCCTTCATTTCAGTCTGACCATTTTATCTATCTGTCTAATCCTTCAACTCTTTCCCTTGATGATTTCCCTTCTTCCACCTTCTGGCATCTTCCTCCCCGTTTCCCTTATCTTTAGCCACTCTTTCATTGGTCTCTTTTCTTTCTACAAGCCTAAAACTGTAATGTAAAAACATTACCAAAAAAAAAAAAGTACAAACTATCCTACAGGGTTGTTATAGCTTAAACCTTGCAATATCTTGTGGCAAAAAGTCACACCCAATGACAATGTTATGTTACAGTTTATAATCCAGAAATGATTTTATTATGAGAACAGTCATCCTGGGATCCTTTCCAAGATTTGTTAAGTAAGCTAACTAGTGGCTATGTATACACCAATTATAGCTCTGTTCTTTCTTTACAGCTTCGGCACACTAATATCTATGAGACAAGCGTTAGCTGGGGAAAGGATGGAATCAACCCCATCAGCAACAGATCCCATGCCTGCTACTTTGAACGCCTGTGCAGTGACTTTCAGAAAATTGTCATCACGCACTTCAACAGGTCAGTTACATAGTGATGTCTATGAAGATGACCCCATAAGAGGTAAGAAATAAGTAGCACAGAGTAAGAGCTACTGCCATTATTCTGGGCTCCAGCTGCATTGAAAAGTTACAGTGAAGAATCCTCTTGTGTTGGGGTTAGTCCCAAACCAGGCTTTCGTTAACAAAAGCTGGAGCAAATTGGGATAAAGCAGATGAGTTTCTGGACAGTTGGCAGATTACTTTTGTTCAAAGTTTGCACATTACTTAGCATGTCAGAGCTGCAAATACATCGAGTTCTTTGATGCATTAATAAATGTTCTGATCTAAACCAATTCCAAACGAATGTGGAAATAATGCAGTTCAACAGAATACAAGATTTTGAGGATACAAGGACTTCAGGCTACATTCTGCCCTCAGTGATAATTCTGCAGTCCCACTGTCTTCATGTGACGTGTGTAAAAACCTTATCCTGCACTGTAAAACATGCATACCAAATGAAGTCTGGGTTAAATGTAGTGTTAGGGACTTAAGCATATAAAATTGCATATGCGAAAGCATAGAGTTTTTTTCAGAAGTGCCATGGAGTTGGCTATTTCAAACTGAAGATCATTCTAAGTTTTGCACACCCTTAGGAAGGCCTGCCTCTTCTATTTCTCAAAATATGCAGATCAGTCAGCTATGTTTCGGAGCACAATTTTCAAACAAAACTTTCAAGCGTTCTTTATACATCTTCATGAAGCAAAAACAATTCACCTTTAAAGGAAAACTATTCATTTCCTGTTAATAAGACTTCTGGTATCTTTTCATGACAAACAAACAAACAAAAACAAAAAAAAGAACCCTTTGTTTAACTCTACCAAAGGCTTTTTTTCTGCTCTTCCTTTACTAGAATGACCTGTTCAAAGAATTTCCCTGGGGGGCTGGATGCAAGGAAAAGAAAGCAAGTGTATAGAGGTTATAGTGATGAAGAGATTCTGGAGCACGTCCAGCATTGTCAAGCACTGTGAGTTGAGCAATTAATTTACATAATTCATGCTTCTAGACAAAGACAAATAGCACATAGTGTGGTGAAGATGACTTAGAATAGTTCACCTGATTTAATTGTTGCTGAGGTTTTTCCTTTCAAGTGTGGGTATTGCCTTATTTTCTCTCCAGCCACATAAAAGGTTTCTACAGTAACACCCTAATCTGGACTGCTTCTTTTTTTAAATAGTTACCAGTAAAATTTTAGATCAAATTCTCGCTCCCTTCCCTATCCCCACCTGTCTCCATTTTCCAGATGAGGCAGAGCACACCAGGGCACTGTTTGGATGAACTGAAAGGCCTGTAAAATGAGCTCCCAGGCTACAAATCCTGGGACTTACTGTGGCTAAGGTTTACCTTTGGCATCCTCCTTCTCAGGATCTAGTATAGGAGAGCATAGTCTTCTGGGAGCAAGGATGGGTCACCCAAGATCAGCCATTTGTGGGGGAGGGAATGGAATGGAGGAGGAGAAAAAGCTCTGACGCTGGTAAGTCAGGACTAGGTCTTTTCTAAAGCATGATAATGTGCATTATGATCCAGTGTAATTTCATGATCATGCATTAACTTAGATACACATTAGTATCTAGGGTCTCAGAAGAAACTATGGTATCATTTAATTATTCCAGAAATAACACATGATCAAGTAATGAAAGAGTGGGTTATAATAAATGCACACAAGGGGCCAGAGTTATGGTTGCAATAGTATGTGAATAAACTGGGAAAGAGGTTCATATTTCAACCAGAAGGACTGCAGTATAAAAATTAATTTAGAAAAGAAACAACAAGGTAGAGGTAGGAGATAGGAAGAGGGTTGACTTATCTCTGCCACAGGGTCTCTATAACCAGCAATACACTATTCATTAGGTAGTAGAACCTTAGGCTACATCTACACTACAGGGGGGGGGGTCGATTTAAGATATGCAAATTCAGCTATGCAAATAGCGTAGCTGAATTCGACGTATCGCAGCCGACTTACCCCGCTGTAGGGACGGCAGCAAAATCGACCTCTGCGGCTTCCCGTCGATGGCGCTTACTCCCACCTCCGCTGGTGGAGTAAGAGCGTCGATTCGGGGATTGATTGTCGCGTCCCGACCGGACGCGATAAATCGATCCCCGAGAGGTCGATTTCTACCTGCCGATTCCGGCCGGTAGTGTAGACCCAGTTAGGATGAGAAGGGATGAGGGCACAACTGTATCTGATAGCACAGTTCTAGCAAACTCGGAATCTTTCATGGGTTCTGTCAAAGTGGATGCCAGAAAGTTTCTTGTCATTGTTGCATTTCATATGTATGTTTGGGAGTTAGTGAGTGTAGTGATTATAACACAGCACCTGGAGTTCTATTCCTCTCTCCACTCTGGGCTCACTGAGTGACCTTGGGCTAGAGACCTTTAACCAGTTTGTGCCTCCACTTCCCCATCTATAAAATTAAGATAATAGTATGTACACTCTGGTAAGGCACTTTGAGACCTACACATAAAAGTGCTGTATTGTAAGGAACTGGGGTGTAGGCAGTTTAGCCTAGTGGTCATAGCTGGGCTGGGAACCACATGTCAGGGACGTTAGTTGGTGAGCTAAGGTCAGAGGAATTGCTAGAGCCAGGTTCAGTAAGCAAGAGTCAGGATAAAAGTCAAGCCAGGGTCAGAGACTGGAGATCAGAGATAGTACCAGGCTGGAATCAGAAACTGGGGATCATAGGTAGTAACAGGCTAGAATTAGGAGGCAAGAGTCAGGGTCAGAATCAGCTAGGATCAGAGGACGGAGATCAGGTGAAGTCTGTGTGGTTGCCCAGACAACTTCTGGGGCACCCTACAGGGTTAAATAGGGGGTTTGGCCAATCAGAGGGCCTCAAGGTACTGTCACTTTGGGTCTCTTGGGCAGTACTTCCTGTGGCACCTAGTCTCCACAGTGCTCCTGGGCATGGCTCTGTATGGCCTCCTGGTAGCACTGTGGGAACATCGACTGTCCCAGGCTCTGCAGACCTGGGTTGGAAGGCATCAACTTAAACTTCAGTTTACAGACATTAATGGAACACCATTAATGAAATACTATCTAGAAATGATCACTATTTTGGAAAGAGAATGTTGTCATTCTGCCAACAAACCAATTACCAGCTCCTACTTGAGATCAAGTAAGCTCAGCAAAAAAAGTATTTCAATTATTTCTTTAATCACAGAGACCTCAGAGTTATTATTCGATTTGTTGGTGTCACTGGTGAAAGCAGAAATATCCGATTGATTCTCTTAAGCCTCTGCTACCAGATTGCTGATATTTACAATGTCAGCATCAATTTATCTGAGGTAACAAAAATAAATCTCAGTTCTCCTTTTTCAGTTCAGGGATCAATTATCTTGATATAACTTTAGATTATAACTATCTATATGGTGGCCCCACACTATCACCACCAAATCACACAGGCACTGCACAATTAAAGTGTAACACATGGCTGTGTACAATATTATTCCTGGGGGAGCAATGGATTTTTGTGCTAAATCAGCTGAATATGAAGCATTCCTTAATTTTCACAATCCTCTTTTTATGGACAATCCTGTACAGATGTGCAGCTTTGTAGTTCATTGGGGGGAGTGGCTCCTCCCCCCTCCAGGTCTGATGGGTGGCCAATCCGCCCCACTACGTCTCCAGGGGTCGCCTGACATGGGGAATCAGCAGGGTGGTGGGAGATGTGAGCTCAGGCCTGTGATCAGGGCTGAACAGCAAACACAGTTATGGAGCCCCAGCTCCTGGTTGGGATGGGACAGCAAAGGGTCTCTGGCTCAGGCCTATACTCAGACTGGGCAGCAAAAAGTCCGGCCTCCTAGCTCTAGCGGAGGGCCGACAAGCACAAGCTTATTGCCTAAGCGAGGGGGAGATTGCCACCCACAGATTGGGATGGCAGGCTGGGGGGATGCAGGCCCAACCCACTCCACTGCATCCCAGCCCAGGGCCCTAGCCGTGGCAGATCAGTCTGCCACTGGGTCAGCGGGGATCCTGACCACAACACGCTGACCCACTTGCTGTCAGCGTTGCAGCCAGATAGGGGTCAGCTACCCCGGGCCACTTCCCAACTCCCCCTCAGGGTGTACCTGGCTCTGTAGAGGGTTGTACTGGTCGTCGGGGAAGAAGGCGTCTGTCAGCACTTGCAGCTCCTCCGTGCTTGGGTCTGCAAATGGCCCTGGCGCTTCTGGCCAGTCCTCTGCTCCCTCAGGGTCTGCAGCAGCCTCCCAGCTCGGGAGCTCACAGGAGGCGTCTAGCTCCTCTGATAGCTGCCTCCCTACTGAGTTCTCCAGCCTGCCTTTTGTACTTCTGGTCCTGCCCACTAACTTCCAGTGGGAAGGTTGAGTGTGGCATGGCTCTGCCCACCAGGATTCAATGAGGGGCTCCTCCCGCTCCGGATCTCTGGGTAGCCAATCCACCCCACAACAATCTTATAAATAGAAGAGGAGAGATTTAGAAGTTTTATTTTATTTCTCCACTGCAAGTACGTTTCTTCTGTTTTTGGTGTCCAGCAACTTGTTACCATTCATTGTATTGGTTTTTTAAAATCCATCAGGAAAATGTACCAGGCAAATGGGCATGCCAGATTATTTTTTATTGTTAATACTAATATTTTCATAATGTGCTGCAACTGCACTTCACAAAACAACCTGCTAAATATAAAGCAATGCCCCTTCCCTGAAGAGCTTAAAATCCAGAAGAATGAATAGAAATACCTGTTACAAACAAGAAATCTTTGTGGTATGTATTTCTGGAATGAAGAAATTTTCTTAATGCTGCAAAAATGCATTAAGAAGAAACATCGAACTTCAGACTTCAATACATATGTTAAGAATGGAAAAGTTGCTTTCTCTTAAAAGAAATATTGTTTAACTAGTTCTTTATATTTTGTTTTATCCAATGCCAAGTGTTGTAAATAGAGATGAGCTTGAACCAAAAGCCCAGCTCTGAATACCTGCTCCTGAATTTTGGGGAAGTTCAGATCTGCACCCGAACTTTGCAGCTCAGGCCCATCTTTACTTTTTAAAGGGTCTCTGTCAAAAAGTTTGACAAAAATTTGATCAAAATTAGAATTCCTACATTCTGAGAATAGTTTCTGAATTTTAGGTATGTACTTCTTAAAAAAATTCAGTTTCAGTATTTTTTTAAAGACACTTGATTAGTACGTGCTGTTTTCTGTGGTGTGCTGCTGTGTAACCAGTAGAGGAAACTGAAATTCAAGTACTAAACAAACAGGCTAATCCTGCAAGTCCACCATATGCAGAACTCTTATTGACTTCAATGGGAACTGTGCACATGAGTACTTCTGGGGGAATTCTGCGCCACTGCACATGCACAGAATTTATGTTCCCCACAGATTTCTTTGCTTCCCCGCAGAAAAATGACTTTGATAGGGAAGCAAAGGGAAGCCACAAGAGTTGTCACGCGACCCTCCCCAGCAGTATGTTTCGGGTGCTCAGGGCAGCCGGCAGAGAGGTAAATCACTGAGTAACATGAGGGACTTTCTGGATGTCTCTTTTGTACTTAATAGTCAATTTCAGCTCCCCCTGCGTGTTCTGCAGCAGAACTCTTATTGGCTTATGTGTTTGGATAGCTTGCAGGACAGAGGCCAAAAAGTCTTTTCGGGTGGCGATGGTGGCACACAAATAGGGATTCATAGAGTCTAAGACCAGAAGGGATCACTGTGATCATGTACATAAATCTAAACTGATATGTCAATTTCATGCTCAGTTAGAAACATGGAAAGAGAAATCAATATTTCTCCAATAGAAAACGCCAACATTGGGAAGGAAAAAAACATTACTTTTTAAATCTCTTTCCAAATGGTGGAAATGTGAAAGAAAACTGCCTTTAAACAAGTTCTGGACTTGTTTATACTTTAACATGAAAGGGCTAAATTATGCTGTTACTCTGCAGTCTCCAGGAAGAGGATGTAGGAATCCATGCCAGAGTCTCTCCATAATGCTCACAACATTGGGAAAGAGGGCTGATCGAAGCCCCAGCAGTGAAGACTCCCTTTGATTTCAGTGAGCTTTGGATCAGGCCCCATGTCTTCAAGTAGGCATGGGAGAAGATTAACGGTGTTTTTGAAACCTACTAAGGACCTTGCTATGCTGATCTAACTTTTCTGATTAGCCCTTAGATCAGGGGTCGTTTGGCACACGGCTTGCCAGGGTAAGGACCGTGGCGGGCCGGGCCAATTTATTTACCTGCTGACGCAGCAGGTTCGGTCGATCGCGGCCCCCACTGGCCGCGGTTTGCCGTCCTGGACCAATGGGGGCGGCGGGAAGCGGCGCGGGCGAGGGATGTGCTGGCCGCGGCTTCCCGCCGCCCCCATTGGCCCGGGACGGCAAACCGTGGCCAGTGGGGGCCGCGATTGGCCGAACCTGCCGCGTCAGCAGGTAAATAAACTGGCCCGGCCTGCTGGGGTGCTTACCCTGGCGAGCCGTGTGCCAAACGTTGCCGACCCCTGTCTTAGATACTACAGTGATGGGAGCTTCAGAAACCCCCTAAAATAGGTTTATTGTGTCCGCATCAAGCTCTGAGCAGTAACAGGTAGAGACATACTTTACTGCTACTCAGAGAAGCAGCAAAATGCACTCAACAGCTCAGACCAGCTGCTATTAGTAATCTGTGCTGGCTAGCAGGAGATATTTTGCAGAGGATGCCATGGGCAGCAGCATATCTGTTTCTCCTTGCTACAGTAGGCAGGGCTGGATTTAGCTCAAAATCTATTTATATTTAGTTCTAAAAACCATTCATGACTATCCTTTAACAAATGTAGAGAAACTGTGCTGCAACCAGTTCTGTGACCGTTGGGCTTTTGATATTCAGTTGGCTTCCAACATGGAAAACATGATAGCCAAGGGTAGCAAACAGCAACAAAAATGTTCACCTTTGTCCTCCCTGAGTAACTCTGAGTTCTGAACATAATCCAACCACTTCTTTCAGTACTTGTTTAAGTTTGTAGTCTAATTGAGTGCAGGCCTTCTGTCAGAACAAGATCTGGGACTGCCAATATATTTTGAAAGCAGAACCAAGCCATATCATGAGTATAACACTGAAGTTTTAACAAGTGTCTGAATGTACTAGGCTGCCTTGCACTGACCAGCACAGCATTTGTCTAGCAGACACCTGTATAGGATTTGCCTTCTTCATACTTTGGATCTCTCCCCATCAGGTCCCAAAACCTCCCGTGGGAACCAGAGTCTTTCAGTGGTGGTTACTTATTCTGGTTTTCTCCACAAGAACCTTTCTTGGCTTTCACTGTTTCTGCTGAATCACTTTCCCTAAACAAACTCTTATTCTTTACTTTTATATTATACTAATAAATAATGCACTATAAATAAGTACAAAATACAACAAATAGCTTATGGGAAACTATTTTCTTGTGGCTAAAATTACTGTACTCTTTTTTTAAAAATAAGGATTTTGAAGCACTGATTAAGGAGTTTGCCTTGTTGCTGGAATTCGCTGCAGAGGAGAAAGCACTGTTGCTAAGTCTGGATGGTGTAGATGAGTTGTCAGAGGAGTAGGGAGCTGACTTTTCCTGGATACCCACTGAGCTACCTGAAAATGTCTATTTTATTGTTTCTACATCTACAGAATCGAATTGCTCATCCTTGAAAACACTGAAAGTAAAGTAACGCATCTAATAATGAATTTAATGGTGTTAATATTTAGCATGTGATATGACTTGTTTTTACATTTTTGTTTTAAGTATTTTTTTTTATTAAGGGAATAAGTGGATGTGGTTAGAAAAGTTTCAAACAATTATAATCAAAACACAAACAATAAAAAAAGGAAAAAGAGATACTATACTAACTTTCTATAACACAAGCAAGAACCATTTCTATTCTGATCCCCACACCACTAAAGAAATCATTCCAATTATTTGAACAACATTGTGCTTGAAAATTAGGGCTAAAGCCTGTAGTCCTTGCTCATGTGAGTAATCTTTACTCACAAGACTAGTTCCATTGGCTTCAGTGGAATTAAGCTTGTAAACATAGGCTTCCCCTGGGGAAGGCTAGCACCCTGTCCCACTTCTGCCCACAGCCCTGCCCACACTCCACCCCGCCCCTGCTCCCACTCGGCCCCCTCCCTGCTCAGACCCCTGCCACCACTCGCCATCTTCCTCCTCTCCTCCTCCCCCATGAGGCCCTCACTGCCCGCAGGGACGTGCTGAGCTGCGAGTGGCAGGCGGGAATGGCCTCACGGGGGGAGGGGGGATGGAGGAGAGTAGGGATACGGAGAGCGGCGGGGACCTCCAGAGGGTGGGGGTGCAGTGGAGGAGATGAGGGACTCACATGGCAGCAGTAGGTGCCTCGGGGAAGGGGCAGAGCAGGGAGGGGAAGAGGCAGAACACAAGCGGGACCACCACAGCCGAAGTGTCCAGCAGGGGGTTGGAGGTGGCTGCCGCCTATGCTTGTAAACAAGTTTTTGCTGGATCATGTCCTTAATCTGTAAAGATCCAATCCTGCAATGTCCTGAGAGTCCTCAACTCCTAGTGATTTAGGCCCCAGTACTGGAATCAGATCCATGTCATCAGATCCCCTGCATTGTTCAGAGCTCCACTGGAGTTAGTGGAGATGTATGGGGCCCACCGGCCTGCCAGAAAAGACCTATTGCAGGACTGGAACAACAGGCATTAGTGTTGTCACAATTATAGCAAGAGAGGCCCAGAATTGTGGGGGCCTCAGTTCTCAACTGAAAGAGACAATGACTTTAAACAGCTTTTTTAAAAATATATTTGATTTGTAATTTTTAACTACACACACACACACACACACACACATACACACACACACACAATATTCTGTTAGTTATCTAGGTTGTTAAACAGGTAATACCAATTTATGACCATTACAAACCAATTTTAACAGGCATTTTTGTGGAATTTTAGGTTTTGGATATACTAGAAATAGATGTGATATAAAAATATTAAAATGCAATGCAGATTTTTTATTATTATGCTCTATAAACATGTTCAATGTGTATCAGTGAACAAATCAGAACAATAACTAGAATAAATGTAGTGTATGTCTATTGTATGCCATGTCAGAGCTGCAATGCAGATGTTGCAAATCAAGTTCATCTTTGGTATTTTGGTTAGACACAGAGTATACAAACCAAATACATGGTTTTGCTTCTTATTGAAGGTGAACTGCAAAGCAAAAATGAAAGTTGAGTTAAACACAGACTGCCTGCCATCCCAAATTAGATTGTGGTTGACATTCAGCATAGAAGTTTCAACTTAACTACTGTTTAAAAAAAAAAAGCCCTCTGTGAAAATATCTTGATTTTCACGGTTTACAGAAGATATCCAGAATGTCACATCACAAATATCAGTAGTCTTACTAATTATAAATACATAAGTCTTAGTAATTAATTGAAACCACAATAGAATTGAATTATGCCTTACGGAATATTGTCAGTGAAGCTAGAAATACCAAAAGGATTGATGCAGGGTTAGTTGAAATTTGTTTTGGTGCTTAATTCTCTTTCATAGTCAATTTGGTGGGGGCGTAGTACAGGTCTGTCGCATCTTACGCGCATTTAACATGCATGATTTCAGCTTTACGCAGTTGGCAAAAACAAAAACAAAAGATAAATATAACAATTTTAATACTGTACCTGTAGTGCGGGCGATTCCGCCCGCCATTACACTCAATATAATTTTGACTATACGCGATTTTCGCTTTACGCACTGACTGCGGAACGCAACCCCAGCGTAAGATGCGACAGACCTGTACATAAATTTGAGCTAGATTATGGTGCTAGGCACAGCATTGTGTAAGGGACGGCAATTATGAAAGAGTGAAACCACCTAATTAGGGTCAGTTTTTGGAGAGGACATCACCATTGAAATCTCTCTCACGCAACCTGTTTTGTTTTAATTAATTAAGAATTATTTCATTTCTGCAGCAAATTACAGTGGAACAAAACGTTCTACAAATACCTCATCTTACACCTACAGAAATAAATGAAATGATCACTTACTGGTTGGAAAGGGACCATCGAAGACTCTCAAGTTACCAACAGCAACTTTTAATGGAGGCTTGTGCAGCCTGCCCATTGCCACTCTATGTGTTTTGTGCCTTTAAAGAGTCATATGTGTGGGCATCCTTCAGTCCAGAGACAGAGGTGTATCTCCCGCCAAATCTTTCTAAAATGTACTCACAGTTACTGGACAGAATGGAAAAAAAACATGGGGAGCAAGTTGTCAAAAGAATGGCAGCTTACATCACCCTGTCAAGAAGCAGTATAGCACTGGAAGAACTACTAGATTTTTTGTCTCTGGATGATGCAGTAATTCAGGAAATAACAAAATACCAAAAGGTGTCCATTTCAGTGTTCCCCCTAGTGTTATGGATGAAACTTCAGGATGATCTTGGAGAACATCTGGTAGAACAAAGAACTGATAACACTTATGTTTTCAACTGGGCTCATTCATTTCTGAAGCATATCTGTATGGAGAGATATCTGAAAGTGTATGATTCACAGCTGTCTTTTCATGCTGCCTTTAAATATTAAATTAAATTAATGGAGATATCCTATCTCCTAGAACTGGAAGGGACCTTGAAAGGTCCAGCCCCCTGCCTTCACTAGCAGGACCAAGTACCAATTTTGCCCCAGATCCCTAGGTGGCCCCCTCAAGGATTGAACTCACAACCCTGGGTTTAGTAGGCCAATGCTCAAACCACTGAGCTATCCCTCCCCCCTTTGCTGATTACTACCGAGGGCACAGGCTTCCTCATGGTCTTGGGAAGTACGGAGAAGTGATCACTTCCCAGCCTCTGGCCTGGGTTTTGAAGAAAGAATTCAAAGTCAATTATGTTTTCAATCTTGGTAAACTTTTTGGAACTTCATATCACCTGATCAGATCTAACAATATTCCCCATTCTGCTAATAACAGAATGTCTGTTTAATTATGAATTTCTCTTGCATAAAGTATGGGCTTCATCAGTTATCAACATAGAAGAGGATTTAAAAGCAGCTACCAGTGCTGGGAGGTGAGTTCATAGTAATACCTAATAAAAGCAATAATCATGGATCTGGAAAGCTACTGAATCCTGAGCCTCTTTTCTCCTCCATCCCCCTTCATGATTCCAGCATCACATCTAGTACGTCTGAACAACAATATGACACGTTAGCAAGGACCAGTCTATTTCACTTGGACAAATTCATTTTTAATCACTATAACTAGACCTTCACAATTGGAAATTTTGGTAACACACTAAGTATTCCAGTAGCTCTAGATTTGTTTTACAACCTACTTTTCCAGTTAGCAGTTTTTTAAAATATGTACAGGTAATAATTAATATTTATTTAGCACCTGTCATCTCAAAGCATTTCAGAAACTATCTCTAGGGAGACAACCAGTTGGTGCAGAGCAACACTGCACATCATTGGGGAGGAAATATTTTGGCCAATGACATTTACCTCTTACTTAACACATGGGATCTCCAATATCTTCACGTAGTAGGCAGTTTGTAAGATCTCATTGTTCAGATCCTTTCATATATGTATGCTCTAGTTATTTATAAAAAGAGATGATATTTGAGTATGTAATAGTACAAGTGGGATGAATAAAAATTGTACCATATTATATGCCGGCCTGACATTTGTCATGAAAAATTACTTATCCGAGGCTCAAAAATCTACTTGCCCACTTTGCCATGGTGATTGATGGTAATGAAAAAAATATCATCTTACTCACCCATAAAAAAATTATTTGTCATGGATGAGTAGAGTTACCAAGGCTGCTGCCTACATAATGTGCCTCTGAAATCTATTGTACAGAAAAGCTAAAGCCAATAAAGAACGCTATCATGGTACTGTGAGACTAGATTGATAGGGATTTCCCTCTCCACCCTTCCCCCAAACTGATCACACTGAAATTCAGAACTAGAAAGCTAAAAGGAACAAAAAAAATTTTTTTTCAGATAAAGCCATTTCTTCTGACACCTAGTTTCAAAATACCCAACAACGGAATGTCTCTCGAAATCTACCTTGTTTGAAGGAATTGTGCCAATGCACTGGCTTAAATAAAGGAGTTAGACTGGAATTGTTACTATGTTAAACACATTGTTACAGTGAAAAGTGAAAGTGATCTGTTGGATTATGTTCTTTATTAGGCTTTCTAGCCCCTTGAACCTCCAGACCAGCAGGCAAATGGCTGGAAGGACATTGTGTTACACTCTTTAGTTACTGAGTCACAGCAAAGGGATAAGGTGCACTCATCTGGGTTAACCATGGGTACCAGTATTACCTACACCCCACTTTTCATTTCCAGGACCTCTCCTCTATGAAAGTGGGGCTTATAATGGCTATAATTTTCATGATCTTCAAGATAGTTTGAGGTCCTTATTTCAGTTTATTGTGGGGGCCCATACAATTCCAAATAAGTAGGTATGATTGAAAATTTTCAGTCAAGATTGCTTTTCTATGGAAAATTGTCATTTTGACAGAATTTTTTTGTATGAAAAGTATCTTCTTTTTGCTGAAAGTTTCAACTTTTCATTCAAAACAACAACCAAACCCTAAAACTAAAAAGTTTGTGCAAACATCAAAAAATTTTGAATCAGAAATGGCACCACAGGGCTTTGCTGTAGTTTGTGTGCCTTGGGCCCTGCTTTCATCTATAGGTTATCATATCTCCCATGATCCACTGCAGAGACTCAGGAAAAGGGAGACTGGTGCATCATGGAAGATACAGTCCCAGGGAGCCTGGCCCATAGAGGAGAACAGGGACATGAGGCACTCAAACAACAACTCCTTTGAGAAAATGCAGTGGCATTTCGCAGCTGAAATTTTCAGTTTTCAGTCAAAAGTTGCCAGTTTTATTTTTAACTTGGTTTTATTTATTTTTTGCCATAAAGTTAAAATTTTCCACAGAAAAAAGAATTCTGACCAGCTCTATAACTAAGTCATTACTCACATAGTTGTAGTTAATACATAATAAAGGCCAGATTCTGAGACCTTACCCTGAGTAGTACCTTACTCCTTGGGTAAAACCACTGAAATCAGTATCTAGCTCTAAGGGCCAGATTGTTATATCCTTACTCATATTAAGTGGCACCTTACTCCCTGAGTGGTCCATTGATTCCAGTGGGGCTGTTTGTGAAGTAAGGCAGATGGCAGTACTCAGTGTGAGCAAGACTATCACAGTTTGGTTTTGTGTGCATTAATTTCTGTGCCTTATGATTTTAGCATAAACTTTATTTGAAGGACTTCCAACATAAATGTTCTCTGATTTGGTTGTGGGTTTTTTTTAAAGTTGTATGTATTCATTATTTATTTTATTTAATCATGATCTCTGTTGGGTACTTGGTTAGATAGCAAAAATAATTATTCATCCCATTTGCATTTATAGAAGTGTTGCCCTCTTTTCTTACGATGTTGTCAAAAGAACTGCAAAGCTGAGTGGAGCTTTGACACCCTAAGAATGGGTCTTTCAGCCTCAGTCCAACTTTATTCCCAACAAACAGCAAGAATGGAAAACAATGAAAACTGACCTTTTTAAATGAAACACTAGAAGTGCCCAGGCCCTCTACTGACTTTATATATAAAAGCAATATGGTATTTGATAGGTTTTTCATCCACATGACAATATTTTATTTGAATCTATTAAGTGAAGCTCTCAAGTTATCCAAGAAAGTTTTGCTGAAGGACCCTTGCCAGCTGGCTTCACAGCGTATAGGCCGTCTACATCAAATTGTAGCTGCAGATAAGCCAGTGGCACCAGGTACCACATATGTATCTATATTATTAATTTTCGGTTTAACTTTCATGACTATTGAATCTGAGTCTGGTATTCTCTGTTGAGGAAGTGGATTTTAAACTGCTTATATTTTAAACACAAGTTTAAAAATACTGAATATAAAAAAAAATAAACAAAGTGACTTTGAGTCAATAAGGACATTTTTGTACAAACTGAGGGCTGGTCCACACTAACCCCCCAGTTCGAACTAAGATACGCAACTTCAGCTACGTGAATAACGTAGCTGAAGTCGAAGTACCTTAGTTCGAAATACAAGGTACTTACCGCGGGTCCATACGCGGCAGGCAGGCTCCACCATCGACAGCGCATACTCCTCTCGCAGAGCAGGAGTACCGGCGTTGACGGCGAGCACTTCCGGGATCGATTTATTGCGTCTAGACAAGACGCGATAAATCGATCCAAGAAGATAGATTGCTTACCACCGAAACCGGAGGTAAGTATAGAGGTACCCTAAGATTAACTGTATAACAACATACAATGTTGCTAAATATTATCTTGCATAACCACTCATCTGGAGTTCTAGAGGTGGTGATAAAAAGTTATTGTTATTATAACAGAACCAGTGAGCTACTGGTTATTGTCTCACTGAAAGTATATTATTGAAAGATGTTAGGAAACCCAGTATACTAGAATACTTGACTCATTCTCAGCAATATAGCTTCTAATAGACATTGCAGCATGATAAACCAGACATTGATATTTCCATTGTTTTTAATGGTATGTAATATAAAACCGTGCTCTATAGAAACAATTTTTTTTGTTAATTAAGGTGATCCTAAAAAATACCTTCACCTGCCAGTCCTGCTGTCCCAGTGCCAAGAGTCTTCCATCCCTGTTCTTTTGCCTTCAACATCTTGCATGCTAGTCACCGGTGGCCTTCTCTGTGACCTATTGTCAGGTAGAAGGGAACAACCTTTGTAAAAAACTTTGTAAAGACTTTCGGGCTAAAATCCACAGTACTTATTCAATGGCCTGACTTCAGTAAGAGTAAAAGCTGTAGGATTGAGACCCTTGTCAGTAATCTGAGGTTCTGAAAATGGTTACAGGCTGTGCATTCCCACACATAACATCACTGAAAATGTTATAGTTTAAAATAATCTAACTGAAATCTTTCCCCACCAGCCCCTCTTTCCCAATTTAGCAAAAGGATCCTATTGCTCAAAGTGAGGATTATGAACAAAGAAATGTGACATTTTTAGACTTTGACTTTTTACAAAACAAGTTTCATTTTGTTTGCTGTTTGATAAAAGATAGTAAATCCAACAGGACAAGTCTCTACTTTGGATATTCATGAGTTACCTCTATGCTATCAACATCAACAATTTCCTTTTTCATGTTATGTGTTGAGATAAAAAGAAATACATTTGCCAATAGCTCTGTTTTACTGGGTAGTAATAAAACAAAATGACCATCTCTGCTAGGGTGACCAGATAGCAAGTATAAAAAATTGGGATGAGGGTGGGGGTAATATGTGCCTATATAAGAAAAAGCCCTCCAAATCGGGACTGTCCCTATAAAATCGGGACATCTGGTCACCCTAATCTCTGCCTGTTGAGCCCTTCATGGACAAACAGCTTACAGACTGTGAGGCAAGCAAGGACAAAAAAGCTTGGGGAAGATGAAAAAGAGAACCTAGAAAACAGCCACTGAATAGTGGGTATCATATCTCAACCTGTCCAAGGCCCAAAGGTGGGGGGACAAAAATCCAAAATGAGACTAACAAAAAATATTTACACAGGAAACTTAACACACTCTGGGAGTCATTCCAAATAACTTTTTCTATAATCTCAGTTTCACAATTCTGTGTTTCTGATGTAAATAATTTTTAACCTTAAAAATGAGGGGACACTAGAATTGTGTAGAAGGTAGGTGAATTTGGGACCAAAACGTGTGATGTTCCTAGAAAAAAACAAAAAACAAAACAAGGGACAGATAATAGGAAGAGAGGGTAGTCTATCCTGTTCTCCTCATATTAGAGGATACACACTAAGGGCTTGTCTATACTTACCGCGCTGGTTCGGCGGCAGGCAATCGAACTTCTGGGTTCGATTTATCGCGTCTAGTCTGGACGCGATAAATCGAACTCAGAAGTGCTCCCCGTCGACTCCGGTAATCCTGCTCGCCGCGAGGAGTACGCGGAGTCGACGGGGGAGCCTGCCTGCCAGGTCTGGACGGCGGTAAGTTCGAACTAAGGTACGTCGACTTCAGCTACGTTATTCACGTAGCTGAAGTTGCGTACCTTAGTTCGATTTGGGGGTTTAGTGTAGACCAAGCCTAAGGGTTATTTCTGTTACACCTTTAAAACAGATCTTTTATTGAGCACTACAAGCTGATCAGGAAATTTTTTTATGGAAAATGCAGTTCCTGCAAAATGGAAATTTTGATCCAGTTCACTACATCAAAATGAAATGTATGAATTTGGGAATGTTCAAACAAAATGTTTTGACTAAAAATGTTCAAACAAAATATTTTGACATATCTAAATCTAAGGCAAAAAAAAAGGTATTTTGGTTTTTTGTCCCAATTTGGGATGAAAACAAATGCTGAAATACCAGAATTTCCCACAGGATGTAAATTCCAATTTTCACTCAGCTCTGCTTATTAGAATTATGTTAGGGTTTTTATGTTTTCAAGTAGGATCATGAGCCCTTTTTGAACTAATCAACAAAAGGCTGTTAAAGCTCAAGCTATTTTTTTAATTATTTGGAACAAAATAAAGGTCTATAGAATGTTTTAAAACTGTAATTTTCCATGCTAAATTGAGTTGGCTAAGAGCCTGAGAAGTCCCATCAATAAACAGGTCTGTTTAATTACGGAAGTATAAAGGGGTCTAATTCTCCAAAGGATGCATGGAGGATTTATGCCTTTAGCTCCCATTAGCACTATTACTCATGTACATTTTTTCCACATGAATGAGAAAATAGGTCCCCAAAGGTATAAAGCTTGCAAGCACACTTTAATGGCCCCACTAAGCCATCACATATTGAACTGAATGATGTGAGGGATGAATAAGTAAAATGAAATTTTAACAGAGGAATTTCTAGAGCAGATGTATGAAAGGGAGTTCATATATTGAGCAGAGCTAATGGGTTTTCTTTGCTGTTTCCATGAGACCTGATGTCAGACCAATAATTAATTGTAATTTTGTAAGCTAAAGTAATGGACCCTATTTTGCTCCAAAGTATACTGGGGTAAATCTGCCTATTAACTATTGATTTACTCCAGTATAAGTGTCTTGACCATGATTAAAATATCTAAGTTGTATAAAAACTTATGTTCTGATCTTTTTTCAGTTGCTCATAACTTTCTTAAACAAGTTTCTTTGGGTTGAAATTTGCTGTGCTTGGTCACAGAACAGAGGTGATTTCTTTTGAAAAGTTTGAGCAAAATCATTGATCCAATTCAGTGTTATGAACATGAGGTTGGGGGAGGGGGTGAGGGAAGGGTACACTTTACGTTACCGTCAGAAACCGTACTGCTGAAGCTAGAAAGTTCATATCACATCATTATTTTGTGCATCGTCTTGAATGCTAAGTAATGAGCCTGGTTTGAAGAATGATGTTTGAGTAGTTTTGAAGTTATGATTGTTTCAATTTTAAAATTTGAGGAGTAATAGTAGAATTTTGATTAAGCAGGAATTTGAGGCAGCCCATAGTTTGAAGTTAACTAGTTTTTTTCAATCGGTAACTTACTATATGCATGGCTGTATCAGTCTTTCCAGTTTGTGTTAGCCATTTTATGTATTTATGGTAATGGTTGACAAATACATAATCATCCTTCCAGATGATGTCATGGTATCCTCTTGCAATGAGGATACGCCTCTAGGGGAGTGGACCCCATTTATTAGGAAGAGACAGGTAATAGTAATGGGGGATTAGATTACTAGAAATATAGGTAGTTTGGTTTGTGATGACTGGGAGAGCCACAGGGTGAGTTGCCTGCCAGGTGCGAAGGTTGTGAATCTCTCAAGATATCTAGATAGACTTATGTGCAGTGCTAGGGAGGAGCTGATGATTGTGGTTCCAATGACATAGGGAAAGATAGGAGAGAGATCCTAGAGGCTAAATTTAGGCTGCTAAGTAAGAGATTAAACTCCAGGATCTCCATGGTAGCATTCTCTGAAATGCTTCCAGTTCCACACGCGTTGCCAGTTAAACAGGCAGAACTGCAGGGTCTCAATTCATGGCTGAGATGATGGTGTTTGGAGAAGGGATTTAGATGTATTAAAAACTGGGGAACTGTTTGGGAAAGGAGGAGCCTGTACAGGAAGGATAGGCTCCACCTAAACCAAAGTGGAGCCAGACAGCTGGCATGTAAAATTAAAAAGGTCATAGAAGATTTTTTTAAACAAAAGACTGGGGAAAGCCAACATGCACCTTTGTATTTAGACTTCTAGCATTTGAATACAACCACTTATAAAATGTGTCAATATTTAGATGCATGAAGTTGAGTGCCTGGTATTAAATGAGGATATTGATAGAACAGGCATCACAAAAACTTAGTAGAATGATGATAAACAATGGGACATGGTAATACCACATGAAAATATATAGAGGTGATTGAGTAGGTTGTGCTGCTGGAGTTGTGGAATTATATGTGAAAGAAAGCATAGCGTCAAATATAGTAAAAATCTTAAATGAATCACAGTGTACCGTAGAATTTCTAAGGATAGAAATTCCATGCTTGAATAAAAAGAGTGTAGCAGTAGGAATATACTAACGACAACCTGACTAGGATGGTGACAGTAATTGTGAAATGCTGAGGGAGATTAGAGAGACTACAAAAACAGGAAATTCAATAATAATGGGTGATTTCAACTACCCCCCATGTTGCCTGAATATGTCACTTCAGGATGGGATGCACAGATAAAATTTCTAGACACCATTAATGACTGTTTCTTTTAGAAGCTAATCCTGGACCCCACAAGGGGAGAGGCAATTCTTGATTTAGTCCTAAGTGGTGCACAGGATCTGGTCCAAGAGGGGAATATACCTTGACTGCTCAGTAATAGCAACCATAATGTAATTAAATTTAACATTCTTGGGGGGAGATGGGAGGAGAATACCAAAGAAACACACCACAGTAGCATTTAACTTCCAAAAGGGGAACTCCACAAAAATGAGGAATCTAGTTAAATGGAATTAAAAAGTCACAAGAATGAAATGCCTGCAAGCTGCATGGAAACTTTATAAAAACACCA